GCAAGAAAAAGATGTTATAGTTTAATGCTTTAAAAAGCAAATGCACACTCACATTAACAGTACAGCCAAAGCACCTTTTTCTTCTCTGTTACCTCTGGCATCAGTACTGGACCACAAACTTTGCTCTGGCTGATGGGGTATGAGAGGGGGACAAAGCAACCCCAAGCAAATAGGGTTGACTGACTACAACCACCAATTAGCATCATAGACTACTGAGATCTGTGCTTGCTGAAGGTACACAGGGAGGCTACAGCTTGTAGTGGTGCCAGGACATTATTCTGCATCAGGCTGCAAGAACAGGTACATTTTAAAGTGTCAGCAATGTCACTTGTGTTAACAAAACATAATGAAAGTAACTCCCGTGCATGAAAATCAGACACTTTTGGAACCCACTCCTGAATTGACTTCCAATTCTGGACTTTAATCACCACTCAGTAGCATTTGAATTGACTTATCAGAGACTTGGTTGGGTAGAGAAAAATGCTAAGAAAAATGCAGAAAGGCAAGTGTGTGGGGTTTTTATCCCTTTGACAAAACAGAGTCAGAAAGACTACAACACTCACTAATTTGGCAAATTTTTTGGACAGAATTATTTTTAAAATTGTGTTTGACTCAGCAAACAGTTTGATGGGGAAACTGAAAACACAAACAGGGCGCTTTTTTTGTGCTCAAGTGACTTGGGAGCATTTTAAGTCCCAGTGAGTCCCCATGTCACTAAAACATTTCACAACACTTGACTGGCTGCATAACCCATATTTAGAGACATTCAGAACCCAGCTGTCATCCTGGGCATCTAAATAAATTGATCAGCTGTAGGCACAGATATACAAGAAGCACATACAGACATGAAGCCTTTACTGTCATTGCTAATAGAAGCCTATCATGACCTGCACGGGTGCCTTTAGTTATGTTATGGTACAGAAATAGCTTTAGTTGGTGCAAAAAATCCTCTGTTACAGGCTTGGAAATAGGCCTACTAATGTAGCTCTGCTATCTCATGTTACCAAATATGATCAATCCAAGCAAAAACTCCAAATCTTAGGGAGAGAGGGTCATTTCTTTGTTCTTTTGTATAGTGCAGGAGAACTCAGTTTTCAGGTATAACACCACACTGAAAAAACACTTCAGATGTCTGCAAGACTCCGGTCTGGATACATCCAGGTTAACACTAAGCTCACCACCAGCAATTATGAAATTTCAGCGAAATGCTTAAGTAAGGAGCACAACACTGCAAACCCCTCACAGATGGCTGGGGAGCGAGAGCTCCTTCAGAGCCTGACTGGCTGGGTCGCTTTTTACCTATGCTAAATATTCAGATTTATTGAACATCCTCTTAAGGGCTTTACAAAGGAGTTTCAGAAGGTTAAAAATCCTGCTTTGTATCCCTACTGACCTGCAAAACCAAAGCAGGATGAAGTCATCCTGCCCGCCCACACTCACCCACAATCTCAGGGCCAGCAGTAACAACCCCAAGCATCCCAGGTTCTGTTTAATGGTTGTGATACATTATTGCACAAAAGGTATGAGGTCTCTGATCCCAAAAGGTGAAAGTTGCATGCTGCAGACCTTCCTGATGTGTTCAAATCACATATAGCTGCTCTTGTGAACTTAGTTATGCCAGGCAGCACTTAAACACAAAATGCTGCGATGCCTTTGACTGGGCCAGTAAGTGCAACTGATTGTAAATAATTATAGTGTGGTCCTCAGGAATGATCATTAGCAGCCACAGGCATAGAGACCCAACTGGCCACATTCATCACAGTGCCTAATTGTGCAGTTCACAGGTATTTATCTGGTTCTGTTTGGTTCAGCTGTATCTTCAGCACTTGAGGGGCAAGGTGCGGATAAAAAGTGGCCAATTTCCCGCACACCTTTTTGGACTATATTAATGCACTGGCCATCTGCATATGCAACTAAAGCATCACTGAAATAACTCTCCTCCAGTGAAACAGCTTCCCATGAACACAAGATTGAGTGTGTGTGTGCTGGTTTGGGCTGGGATAGAGTTCATTTTCTCCACAGTATCTGGTATGGAGCTATGATTTGGACTTGTTCTGCAAACAGTGTTGGTAATTCAGGGATGTTTTAGCTATTGCTGAGTAGTGCTTACAGAGTCCAGACTTCTTCTGCTCCTCACCCCACCCCACCCCAGTGAGGAGGCAGGAGGGTGCACAAGGAGTTGGAGGTGACACAGCCAGGACAGCTGACCCCATCTGCCCACAGGGATATCCCAGACCATACGCTGTCGTGTTCAGCACACAGAGCTGGGGGAAGAAGAAGGAAAGGGGGGGTATTTGGAGTGATGGCATTTCTCTTCCCAAGTCACCATTACGTGTGATGGAGCTCTGCTTTCCTGGGAACGGTCAAAAACCTGCTGGTCAATGTAAAGTAGTGAACAAATTCCTTGCTTTGTTTTGCCTGTGCATGGCTTTTACTTATTCTTTATGTCAATCCATGGGTTTTGTTGCCTTTATTATTTCAATTCTCTCCCCTATCCCACCACAAGGCAGTGAGTGAGTGGCTGTGTGGGGCTGAGTTGCAGCTGGGGCTAAACCCCAACAATCTGCTAGAAAAACTCCCAGTCACATGTATGCTCCACAGTGACACAGGTTTTAAGTACTTGCTAATTCCAGGCCAGTATTGAAATCCCCTTGCTTATTCTTAGTTACACAGAAGTATAGCCTGTGTTATGGGCCTGTTTTGCACATCTCTTTCCACATTTTTTTTTTATTAATACATAATTTTTAGGAAAAAACTCTCTCATCCTGAGCTACCAAGGTTAAAACAAGTAAGATATTTGCTGGTCCGTTTCTTTTACTGGAGTGATTTATCCTTAATATTCATAAGGTGACTCCATTAACACATTTACGAAGTGCTAAGAGAAGAGCTTTTAATCATGGAGATAACTGTTTATGATAGTTGTCTGTCATTAATTAGTTTGCAAGCCTTACACACACTGCTGAGGATGCCCAGAGAAGATTCTTACAAACACAGATCTTTTACACATGTACAAGCTGGATTCTGCATATACCTGAATGTAAATAAAATGCCTCAAACATTCATGCTACATTTAAAATTGAGTTGTTCTGTCAAGGAATATTCTTTATCCCAATTCTAAGCAGCTGGAAAATGTTACCAGAAGACTGCAAAAGCCCAGTTTAGGCATTTGATTTACTTTTAAAACAGTATTTGCCAAAGTACTGCTGTAACTTCATACAGAATGCCACCTACTACAAAACATACCTAGTTGGAAGTGTCTCTCCTTCAAAATAGGTCATGTAATATCATTATTCCTAAAACTGTATTATTTGTGTTCTATAAAATATTTTAAACCCCTAAAAACTGAACAGAACTCTGTTAAGGTTTATAACTGACTTGAACTTACTATAAAATCTGATTGTAATTGTATACATTAACTTATTTCTCATCTGGCTTCCTAAACGAATAAGGTTTGCAGGACCAACTGTATTTATTCCCCTTCTTCCTCCTCCCAGATACATGACTGGATTCCTTTGCCCATTTACTAACTCAAAAAAAGGCAAAGCTTTTAAATACTACTAAATCTCTGTAAACATACAGAGATTCAGGGCTAGAGAGAGGGACACATCCCACAGCACTGTGCAGAGAGAGGGGAAGGAGGGAAATTTAGGAATTGCATTTCTGTTTGGCAGCAGTTGTTCAGCCAAACCAGTAAGCGTACAGCTCCCGAGGAGCAGCAATCCACGCTGCCACTTGCACACTGGGGTGCATGGAAATCTAGGGAAGGAAGGATTTGGGTAATGAAGGATAACTCCTGAGCAAACCAGGCTCCATCATTTCTGCTACTTGTGTTTTGTTTTTCAGACCAGGCGTTAATCTCCGGTCCTACTTTCATTAGTACAAATAATCCAGTGAACACAGCGACAAAACAGCAGTCACCTGCTTCAGAGGATCAAATTCTCAGACATTTCATTGGGCAAAGGAAACTCATTACAGTATGTTTTTCAAATGAGTCTTATGAGCAGACCTTCAAAAAAGGCATTTTGGAGCTAACTCCTGCTGGCTTCAAGGGAAACAGGATTTCAGCCTCTGTGCCAAGACCCTCAGCTGTGAGCACACAGGCTGCCCCCAGAGTCCTAACCTTTAAATCCGTGCCCTTGAAAATGAACATCTCACCCAAGTGCCACTGCTCTTACAGCAGTAAGAGGAGGCAGAGGCTGTGTATCACCCAGGATAGCAGATTCAACCTGAACTGTCCATCGCAGACACAATCCGTTGGTAGAACCAGCTATGTAGCTGAAACAAGTTACATCCACAGTGAACGAGCAGGTTAATGAACTCTTTCACCCAACAGCATACAGGACAATGTGGCTGGAACAGCTTTCTGAAAGCAACCCACTGCATTTTATTGGTCAAGCTAAAACCTCAAGTAATGAAAAAAGATCAGCCCAGTGCATTCTCACCAGAACAGTTAAGTAGTATCACCACCAGATCTGCATTAGTTTTAAAAAGGCCTGGGGACTTTCTGAACTTAGATCTAGTTTTGGTATTGTTCAGCACAATATATAATGACTATCACCCCTTACAATGCCAGAGAAACTGCAGTAGAGGAGTGAAAATGCTCAAAACAACACAGTAGCAGCCAAGAACAAGAACTCAGAAGCTCATGGTACTCAAGTTGTTCAATCAACCGGAGCTGTAGCAAACAATACTGAAGAGAAGCTGAAAATGGGAAATCATGCTGTAAAGTGATGAGTCCTCTAACTATTTAAGCATCATTACACTCTTCAATTATGTTTTGACTCAGCCTACAAAGTGTCCCTCTCCCAGCAGCACATCTCCATCCTAAATGTGAAGTCAGCAACTTCACAAGCATTTCATGCCTTGTGTATTTAACAATCATCACAAACAAGAAAAGCCTGGACTCTGAGTTCAAGGTTCTGTGAAACCTTCAAAGAAAATCATCACTGATTTTGTTAGCAAGCATTTGGTTCAGAGTAAAGAATAGAAAACAAACTCACATGGTGCATGGAACATCACTAGCACAGATGAATGATCTTTTATAAACTTGTCGAAGTCCTCATCAGTCAGGTGATAAACTACATTTTCTTCATCTGCCCAAGGAGTCTCTGGAGGTTGTGGCTGAGGTGCCTGTGGGCTACAAGACAAACAGATAGAGCTTAAGAGCAGCTTTCTGGTACTAAGCAGTCATTTTGGTAGGTCAGACTGTAAGGAAACACTTTGTGCAGATGTTCATACATGTGTGAAACACCAACCCTACTGAACAGCTTCCATAATTGTACCCACCCAGAAATCACAAGCACTGAAATGCAGATAAAACTGGAGGAGGAATAAAAAAACCCACAAGAAGCTCATGAGAACAGATCAGCAATGGAAGGGGATGGAGACAGGAGATGACCAGACTGCTTAGTTATTACATTATAGAAATCAGATGCATTTTCTATCACTCTTTCACCCTTCTCAGCAGGATGCTCCTTTTCTCACAGCATTCACACTTTCTAGTTCACAGGAGTCATTGCACATGAAAGAAAAGAGTAGTGAGCAGAAACAGCCAATTTAGCCCGTCACCTTGGATACTGACAGCATGACTAGGGCTGACAGAGAAGGAAGGAGATGCAGTGCTGGGACCATGAGCCAGCTACACACACCACTTCCCCAGGAATGTGTGGTTTTACCCTGAACAGCTCTTGTGGCCCAGGGAAGCACCACTCTGTCCTCCCTCTCAGCGGGCTTGTAGGCCTAACTCAGCAAACCTACTCAACTGCATGCTTAACCTAAAAGGCGTTATGTTCTACCAACTTCAGTATGATTGCACACGAGTTTAACTGTCTTTGATGGATCAGAGCCACAGAGACTACTCAAAGACACAGTGGCAAGTCTGGAAACTGAACCTAAGCTCCTCTGGACCAGTTCAGTGCTCACCATCCCACTGAACAATTGGTTTTGGCTTTTATTAATGTACATTAAAAAGATAATTCGGCAACTGTGAACTAAACTATGCTAATTGACATTTTATTTAATAAAGCAATGTTCACAGAAAGGATACCCAAACGCACCAATATTGGGAGCCAGACTTTGAAGCTGTTTTATCATTGCCAGTTGCAGTAACGAGTTCCAAATACCCCCCAAGTTCCCCAAATTCTTTGGCAAAGTACAGGTCTGGATTTGACCCCACCTCCGATGAAAGCAGATTTACTATTTTTGATTAAAATGTATTATTGTGTTATCTGCCTGGAACAAGGAATGGCAAACAGATGATAACTCATTTATCCTGCCTTGCTCATTTCTAGGCTGAAAGCCTAGTTCGATAAAAAAAGCAGCAGAGAGATACACAGATTCAGATAGCAAATTCTGTTGATGTAAGCAATGGGTATGATCCAAGAATACCAAGCAATCCATGCAAAACTGTGATGCACACCTCTGCTGCTGCTTATACGATAAACACAGTGAGAAGCAAACATCAAAGCAAAGACTGGAGCTGCACCTGACCAAGCAGAGGAGAGAGACAAAGAGGTGGGTTCTCATTTGCAGGAGTTTACTCTCTAAAAGCTTAGCAGATAGTCAGTTTGCTTGTTGCCAAGTCTGTAAGAGACCAATAATCTCCAGGTATCCTGGGAGAGCGAAGGCTTTCCAGAAAAAAACACGACATTTAACAGATTTGGAAGGTGGGTTGAGTAGGCAGAGCATGATGAACGTGGACACAGCATCTACAAAGCACTGGGAGAACATGGTGTTTAGCATGGCCTGGTATGACCTATTTTCCTATCAGGAACTGGAAAAGCAGGACACGGGATGTTTATTCAAATGGCCCAATTTAAAATACTGTGCATGCTAATAAGCCTACACAGGAGTGGTTAAGAAACACCTCAAGCCCTGGAGGAAGCAACAAGCAAAATCTAAAATGCCATTTACAACTGACACAAGGCACATCCAACACCTGATTAGGATGACAGAAGTCCGGAAGAATTATCAAAAGCTAATTCAATTAAAAGCACGGAACAAGTTCTTGATTTAATGGAGAAGCTGATGCTAAGGAAGGGCCTGAGAGGAATCAATAAAAACAGCAAGACAAACTAAGCAGCTCTTGAAGGCAGTAAGAAGTTGTCTGTCTTGCCTACCATTCAGGCTGATACAGCTGTGTATCAGATTTTACAAAAAGAACAGTGGTATATGCAAGATAGCATCTCTAGTGTTACTGTGTGTTGGATTAAGGCTGTACCATGGTTTGTCTCTAACATCTCATGAAAACATCTGAAACTATATGACATAGAAGCCCGTGCCTATTAGAAAGATGAGAGAGGTTAAGTGTCTGTAAGACTGATGCATTAGCACACTTCAGCATAAGAAAGAAGTACCTTCAATAAGTGGTTAAAAGAAAAAAAAAAAAAAGGTGTTGGAGCCCTTCAAACTATCAGTTCTTGTCCTGAGAGGGACAAGCATGGACAACATCCTTTCACTAATTTAAATAATTCTAACCTTCAAAAAGTTATATCATGTCCTCCCAAAAATCAGCATAGGATCAAGTACTTTCAGCACTTTGCCAGTAACATTTAGAGAGAAAAAAACAAGAAGGGGGAGAGGGAAAAGAGATGCTTTTCTGCAGTGTACCCAGTGTCCACAATAAATAGGCCATTTCATATGGCTCAGTGTCTGCTGGATTTGCTTTGGAGAATCCATGATGACAGCACACGCATGCAGAGTACAAAAATGCACTGGCTGTCCTCGCCATGGCCCTGCCTTGCCCCTGCTCCACAGAGCAATATCTTGAATCAGCGCGACCTCCTGATATGATTTGAATATTATACCATTCTGAAACACAGCCTATACCCCCTGTAGCTCTCTAACGACACTCCTCGGCTTTCCTGAAGCCCTTGCCATACCATCTGAATACTTGCACTGCAGCTTCCTCAGAGCAATATAATATTATGTATGTAGTAGATTTACCCCTTATATGGTTTTTTAACTGCAGCATCAATTACTGGCAAAATTATGTAAATACACATAATTTCTCAATGTGGTTTCCTTAAAAGTTGTACTTATTATACAAAACAGGGGCACAAGGCTACTGCTCAGATCATCTTTTGGGAAACTAATAAGCATGCACTAAGTGAGGACAAACAGCTGTCTTTAGCTCTGGACTGCTGAAATATCAGCCAAAGCCCACAGTGGCTTGTTAGCAGAGATTATCATTGGAAAGAGCTTGCAGCTGTTCTGCTTTGCCTCCAGTAGCTGTGTTCACTTGCTGTCACAGCACTGATATAAAAGCACTGCACATTACCGGGATTATCTGGATATTATGTGGGCAGACAGGGGAAAAAACACCCCCAACATCTAATGTTTCACATATGGTAGCCAAGAGATAACCACATCCTTGCAGAACTGAGAAGCATAACAAAGTGCAGGTGATGAAGCCATATCCTTGCTCCCAGGGCTGATCAACTCCTCGGTGCTGCTGGAGTTGCCATCTTGATCTCTCACATCTGAAGATTTAATCGACTACATGAGGCTTAAAGACTGACTAAATTCCTCCTCTTTGATCCTCTGGGCAGTACTCGTGCCTCCTGATGCTAACAGGAATGATGCTGTCACTTCATTTGTGGGTTCCAAATCCTGAAGCACTCAGTCTGCTGCTGCTGCTGAAGACCCTGGGCTACCTGCAACCATATGGACATCCCCATCACAGCCCCACTGGTACAGTAAGATACATCTATTCTGAGCCAATTTTGCTAAGCTGTATTATTACAATAGTTTGCAACAGTCTGTTCCTTCCCATGAGTTTGTTTCCTTTTATTAGCTTCATTTCAGTATTGTTTCTGTGACTGCAGCAAACAAGGGAGGGTTGCAAAGATGATGTCATGCCCAGGGCTCGGTGCTAACAGGATTTCTCCATCGCCAGACTATCTCAGCTCTCTCAGCTGCTCTATCAGGTTCACTGACAATGTGGTGATTTGCACCAGTTGAAGAGCAGCTGTACACATACTTGCACACTCTTCCTGTGTCTCTGTCTCTCAGCATCTAGTCCCACAGGCTTGTTCAGCCCCCAAATGTTTATGACTGCAAATAGTGCTCTCTAGATAGAACAAGATGCTTCCAATACTTCACCCCATGACATGAAACAAAGATGTAAAAATGAGTACCTGTCCGAGGTGCCTTGATCTCCAGTATGTCTCTGCAAGACACTTTAAAGGCTTCAGCTAAAGGCTGAAGAACCAACGAGTGCACTTGTTATATACATTTTTAATAAAACAACAGAAGTCAAATGTTTTGCAAGGTATTAGGTTCAGGCACACAAGATCACTGGCATTTTTAACGAAGCTGAGATCTGTGTATCTGCATTTATTTTGGTCCACCATCAGTCTCCTGTTACAGACAAGATGCAATGGTGAAATGCAAGGCATGCATGCTAAAAACCAAACATGAGGCAACCTCTCTGTATGAGTTTAGCTGATCTCAGTGGGGTAGTTTTGTTTGCTCTTCTGAGCAGAGGGAATGAGGGAGAGATGTCTGTTCCTAAACCATTACATTCTGTAAATAATGAAGAGAACATAAAAGGTGGAGTGCATGAAGTTCAATGCCTTACTTTTTCAGCCACTCTGCTATATCTGCTGCGGTAGCACCAAAGTTCTCGAAGTTGAACAGGAACTTTCCTTTCCTGTTAAAGCAACAAAACAAGGTTCAGTCCTTGCCCTGGAAGATAAAAACATGCAATTATAGAAGAGTGTATGATCTCTAAAGTAGTAGCAAAACGTAACTGACTCAAAATAGCAGATTGTAGGATATCCCCGGACATTGAATTCTTCCTTTATCCTTTCAAATTCAGCAGAGTAAACATTCATTCCCGCAAGAACCTGGAAAAACAGAGCATAATCTTACTGATTCTTACAATACAGCAGGAATATCACAATATTTGTTTCAAGGTCTAAGTAAAACCAATTAAGATCTGGGCAGATTCTGATTTCATTCATATAGCTGTCAAGCAAGAGGATCTCTGTAAAAGGCACTGAAGCTTTTTTGATTTTGCGCAAGAGGAACAGAACAATACTTGAGTCTAATCCAGAGGAAACACACACCAGTCAGCATGTCACCTCCTCCTTGCTCTGGAAGCATCTCTGTTTCTTTTTATTCACCCACTAAGAGAAACATCTAAAGGAATTCTCTCAATTGCACTATTTGTGCTATTCTTTGTGCATTTGGCTTTTAAGCTACAAGTGTAATTGCGGGTTTTTTTTCTTTTCTTCCTCTGCAAGCAGGAAAAAACAGTTCTCAGTTCACATCCAAACACTAGATAGGACACAAGAAGTTCCACCCTCGGCTCTCTAGTTTCCACTCCAGCAATGAATTTACAATCTCAGCTTATGTCCAGAAGCTCTAACCAACCAAGCACTGCCATTATCCCAGCTCAAAAACACACTTGCTGAATGGCAAGGGGAAATCAGCAATACTTTGATGTGAAAATAAAATATGCCCTATTTCCATGAGCTCAGGAAATATCACATGGCATTTATATGCTTTAAATATGTTAACTTACGTGACTGGTAGGGTATAACGAGAGTTAAGAATTAACCTTGTCCTACAGATATCAAAAGAGGGGCACAGAAGCATAGTGGCTTTTCAGATTAGCATGTGAAACAAAACCCCTCTCCTACACTTTCCTTACCTCTACCCCAACCCATCCTCCACCTCAACAGCCCTTCATCCTGAGCTTCAGGTTCAGGGCTACTGTGACTTGCACCGTGTCCTGCGACTTACTCTGTGCCCTTTGCAAATGTCTTCCAAATATTTTTGACGTGAAAACTGGAAGATGGGACTGATTCTGAGCTTTTGTGGGTGTGCAATTCACACAGAAGTCGTTCTGCTGTCAAACCTGCAACCAGAGAGTTGCTGAGATACCACTTCCTGATTAACTTAGTTTAATGGCACTGATGGCTTAAATCATTTTAGCAGCAGGGTCTTAATCCAAACCCCTCCTCCTTCCCTCTCCAAAAACAGGATTTTCTCCTTCCAGCTGAAATGCCACATCAGAATTTAATACCACGTTCCCCACTGCAGCAAACTGCACAGACCAACGAAATGTGCTCAGAGCCAGCGTGAAATAAATCTTAAAGCAGAAAATCCTCATTTGAAGGTCAGCCTTTTCTAAGAATGTGCTGGAAAGTCACAAAAAGATACTTTGTTTTCTCTTCCCTATCCCGAGAAATGATACAGTTAACAGAGAAGAGTAAAGTAATAGGGTTTATACTTGCTGGTCAAGTCTCTCACTTTGAGTTTTCCTTGTAGTTCCAAGAACCAGATTGATTTAATTCATATGAGATTATCTAGACCCAATTTCCCCTTTCCTTGTCCTCTATGTCACCACCTAAGGGCAGGTAAATGCAATACGATCACGATACAGTGGTTGTTTTATAAAGCAAGAACCAGGTTTCTTAACTAATTCCCTAATAAACACCAGTCTACCAGATTTCACACTTGCCATGAACTTTCAGAGGATTTCCAAGGTCTTAAATGGGCATTCCCAGCCATTTCATATATTCTGCTACAATTTCACTGTGTCCATCCAATGGTGATTGATTTAAGTCAATTACTTGGATTCATTCTGGTGTTCATACATTTTATGAAGCATAATTAGAAAAAAAAAAACTATTGCAATGAGATTCATTTTTAATGACAAAACTAACAGCTTTAGCTGGCCTATAATCACAGAATTATACAATATCAGGTTGTCAGAGACCATCAAAACACACCTACTACCCAAAGCCAGGGTCCTCCTCCCACATGGTCAGCTAATCTGCTTTTAGCAAATGACTGAATGACCCCAGCTTCAATTTCAATCCATTATCACTTGTAATAGCCACTGCAGAAAGGAAGATCAGTTTATTCCTTTCACCTCTGCAGTGACATTTGATATATTTCAACACTTACCTGCTCTCCACCAAGCTACCTATAACCTAAACCAACCCTGAACTTTTCCTAGCTTTCCTAGTCTTCACAGATTCTGACCCTTCCTCCTTGACTGACTGTGACCCCCTACTTTGCTTCACAGTTTTCTTCATGGGATTGCTCCAAAACCGGTATCTCAGAGCACCAAAAAAAGTGAAATAAAAAAAAAGACAAGCACCAAAGGAGGAAAGCTCTTAAGCGTATTCTCAAGCTGGTCTTTACTGAGCAGAACATTCTGGCACACTCATGGGCATTAAGGAGATGTTGAAGTGCTCTGCTGACCACCAGCTCCTCCCTGCTCTGGTGCCACAGTACATCGCTCACAGTCACTCACTAGAGCCCACCCAACCCTCTAACCACAGAAATATCTCATGGCAATCATAAAATAAGCCCACTTCTGATTTGGTGCCCTTTTTTCCTTCTGCACTGGGTGCGATGGAACTGCAATATCTAACCAGAATATAAACTGAAAATACCTCTGTGCCCTCCTCTCAGTAACAGTCCTGGGACAAGAAACAACTAGACCCAAGGGAACACAGCAACAAGTATGGTTCACCTCTTCATTTTCACAACCTCTTAGATAGGCAATACTGTACTTAATTTTCCTGCTATATAACAGCCATAATCACTTTTGAGCCTGGCACATCCTGACAGCTAATGGCAGGTCAGATTAAAAGGCCAAACCTTCAGCTCATCCAAACCAATCATAAACTTTCTAGCAAAGTCTGATCTGGAAGTCACCATCACTCTAAGGTACTCCATGAATAATTTATGATGGGTACAGCACAGTTAACTTTACAAATGGCAAGCTGTGTGCACGTCCCACTCAGGAAGCTAATTAGGTCAAATGTTGATAGGTCAGACTGATTTTTGTGAAAGATGCAGATGGTAGTGCCACAACTGGACTTTTCTCTGAACTAATCCTGCACCACAACACTCCACTGCAGAAAGTTGTGTCCCAGCCCTGTCCTCCACCATGCAGGATTAGTCTGGATCTACAGAAACAATTTCCAAGTGAGGAAGGAAATGCTCAAACTAGAATAGGTCTAGAGTTTTAATTCTCTGGTCTGAATTTAATAAAATGAGCTGCACACGGACAAGGAAGGGACAACTGCAGGAGAACACAGCATGCCTAGCACTGGCACTGTCCCTGTAGGTGATCTTTACACTGCTAATTCCTGTTCACACCTCACAATGTACCTCCACACAAGGCAGAAGTGCCTCCCCAGGGACTGCAGCACACACTCCACTAGAGGAGATGCCATTAGAGTGCTGCCTGGATAGACAAAAACACTCTTGAAAATGGGTTTCTTTAAGGGTTGTACTGTGTCCTAAATAAACCTGAATAACTCCCACTCATTTCAGCCCTAAGCAAACAAGGATTTAGAGAAAACACTTCAGAAAAACAACTAGTTTGGAGAATGTTGGGGAGTCTGACAGCACTAGGTAGTCATGAGCAGGAATGGCCAGAGCTGCTCTAGCAGTGAACTGCAGTGCTTCATCTTTTTCTCCCAAGGAAACCTGTACACTCAACAGTGAATGATCTAACAGGTAGGATCAGACCAAATCCTGCTAAAGCCATGAAACAACGATCCTGTTTCTTTGCCCTTCCTGTATTATTGGCATCATACAAATTATACGTTAAGCACATTATAAAACCTCGACTAGAGAAGTGTCTTTGAGTTGCTTAGAGAGATCAATACGTCTTACTAATAGAAAGGGGCAACTAAATTATTGTGACTGCTGCTGATGGACTTTATTACAGTCAAAACTGACTTTCATATCAATCTGGTATCAGTGCTAACTTTGACAGAGCTATAGTTAAACTGTAAGACTGTATGAATGCTTAGTGGCAAGGAGAGTGACCAGCAGCTTGTGCAGGGAATCCCCTTCTCATAACACTCTGATTCTCCACTAAAAAAAAATGGATTAATAGTTGGTATAAGGGCATCCATCCCTGACCTTGCAATGAAACATCATATGAAATCCATTATGGCAAACATCTCTTTAACAAAATGAGCCCAAAAGGTCTACAAACTCACAAATTAGAAGCTAAACATAAATCTATATAGTGTCAGAGCCTGTTTCTCCACAGCAAAAGCTACACTGGATCTAAAGGGCAAGTGAGTTAACACTTCATTCTCTAAAGTTTTAAAAGAATAAAAAACAAGAGAGAGAATCCTTAAGGGATCTGGAACAGTCTCATTCATTTCTGTTTTGTTTTGACTTGCTTAAAAGTTCTTGAATTTGATAAATATTTGCAGGTTTAAATACAAAAAAAAAAAAAGTGTTAAAAAGATTTCTGAAGTTTCATATAAATCTTCTCACTTACATATTTACCCTTCAGTTCTGTGGCTGCCTGCTGATAAGATGGCATCATTCTCTTACAAACACCACACCCTGATAAAAAAGAAATTGCATCAGTAACATACCAAAAACTCTATTCAGCCTGTTATACAGGATCCATATTCCAAAGCATATGAAATAATATTTTATGTTTAAAAAATTTAAACCAAAATTCTTTATCTGCTTCACTAAATCATTATTAAATTAGTTTTTAAGGATGTTACTTCTTTTTACAAGCCTCTATTTTTGCACATTTTTCATGCTTTTCATTTTCATATTAATTTCTCATCCCAGTTTGAGAAGAGTAACAACACTTTACATTCATCAGGCTCTGAGCTGAACCCAGAGGAGAACATAAGATGAAGCACACATATCAAAAGTCAACAGAAGATGTCATAACTGTGAACTCAAAGAAAAAGCTTCATGCATTTCTGGTCTTTTAAGGGACAGGGGGAGGTACTGAGATTCATCCCAGCTTAACAAGCCTTTGAAATTAATTTGAGATGCATTTCCTAAACACATTACACAGGCATCAAGTGTTAAACGATGCTCTGTTAATTGAGAAGACATAACTCAGAAGCAACTGCCCTTGTAAGATACAAAAATGCACTGTGGAAAAGACAAACTGAGCGTGAGGAAGACCACCAATGTATAGCTGGAGTGTGCTGAGAGCTGTTTGATGACGCTGTGCAGTGCTAAGCAGATTAGCAGTAAATCACCTTGTAAGCAGCAGTTTTCACTCCTGCCAAGTAAAATCCTTGCATGCAGATGGGAAGGGGTAGGAGTGCAGACAGCATGAAAGAAAGGAAGCTGGAGCCAAGTCCTCCAGACGCTTATTGTGGAAACTCTCGGGTCCACCACAGGACAGCAGTCAACAGTTTTGTTCTGGTGAAGATACAAGAGTTTTGAATCTTCCAGAAAGGAGGTATGGATTTTGCAATCACCGGTTTAGAATCACATCAGCATGCCTGAAAGAACATAATTTAATCAGAGGAAAGAGAGCTCTTGTTTCTGTGGTCTTTCCACCTTTGGTCTCTCTGTTTAAACTGACAGTGAGGTTGTTAAATTAGTGCTGGTCAAAATGACAATTTGTTGGTGGGCACAGACCACTCATTTAAGGCCCATTGAGGTCTTGTAGCTTCATCCAAACCACTGGACAGACATCAAAGGATGTGAGTTGTTAACATTATCTTCTGGATCCCCTACTTCTTCTCTCCTCAGCAGCCTCAGACCCTAAACTCCCAAAACAGATTTCCCTACCTTCCCCTCTTCACTCTTCTTTCTGCTCCCTGGAATGCCTTCTGGAGCACAGGCACATACCACCCTCCTCTATCCAGCCATCATTGCTATCTATGCTTCTGTTCCCAGCTCTGCTGCTGCCTCAAACTTGCTGCTCCCAAATCCACTTCAGTACATCCTCTCCTGTCCACCTATTTCTGAGTTATATTGTTCAGGATACTGCCAAGCCACACATACCACTCAACAGGTATAAAAAGGGTAACCTCAAAAAACTCATTTTCTTCTGTTCTTTCTCCTTGTGTTTTGTCTCAAAAGGGAGAGCTTAATTAAACACACGTTAGTTTTTCCACTACTTAACACCTTAATTTGTAAAGTCCTAGTTTTAACGATGTTATAAACAGCTCCTTGTTGTCACCAAATCCAGACAGTCTCCTGCAGGAGTCTTCTTTGACAGAGTTAACTACAAATAAATCTGAATGCCTATAAGTATACCTAATTTTTCATCTTTAGTGCTGTCTGACTTTGTAATATAGGTCTGAAAGTACAGTGAATGGTCTCCAAATGGCAGGTAATATCTTCTGAGGAAAGCATGCCTTTGCTCTGAGTCGTTTTACCCAGACCAAGCATTCCTGAAATATTAAAGAAACTACATTTAAGTCTGCAGTCACTTTCATCTCCCTCTGCACCAGTTTGTAATGAAAGGGTCCATTTCCTATGAATCTGTCACAATGAATATAAAGCCCCTACTTCCAACAAAGCAGAGAAATAAGGCAGCTGTCTTCTCCGTAGCTTCCCAGACAAAGCCTCTGATGTCCTCTCGTGCCAAAGACCTCCCTGAGCCACCCCTTACAAGTCAAGAAAAGCAGAATTTCTTTTAGTGGCCAGTCTTGATTTGCTGCTCCCAGTTATGAAAGGTAACACCTGTATGTAAGCAATAACTTCAGCTACGTGAAGCCCTTATTTTAATGCAACTGCTGGATGTATTCTGTCTCCAGTAAAAGGAGTAAGAAAAAAAATAATTGGACAAAAACCAAGTCAGAAGGTCTTGTGTGTTAAATAAAAGATGAGGGAGTTAGAAACTGAGAAAGCAGAGGGGAGGAAAAAAAAACCTTACAAGTAGACTTCCTTCACAGCACTTTAGAAAGCAGCAGAAGTATTACAGCACTGAAAACTAGCAGGTGTTTTGCCACTTCAAAAGAAGAGAAACCGGAAGAAGGAAGGTTTCTCGGGGAACGGTTCAAAGAGAACGAAGGGTTAGATAAGGCACATTTCAGGAAGAGACTCAGTTGTGGAAAACAATTATTCCTGATACAGGTAAACTGTGAAAGCATCTGCAGCTGAACTCTCCCCGGAGGGGCGATTTACAGCGGAGCAGGCGTGTCGTCTCCCGCTGATGCCACGCAGCAGCAGGGACTGGGAACAACCACACACTAAACCAGGACACACAGGACCCCGCCACTGCAGAGTCTGAGGGCACAGAGCTACAAGGGATTTAATTAAAAGAAAAACCATTCTCTTAGTGATGAATCAAAGTAAGTCTGGGGCAATTGTGGCCATCTTGGCAGTACTCAGATGAGACAGAAAAGGCAGATCGGCATTTCAGGCAGTAATTACAAGAGAAAATACATTGAGAAACACCAGATAATGCTGCCATGGGACACAGTATTAAACAGAATCAGACAGTGAATTGCTTACAGTACCTAACAACAACTTCCCTATCAGGACAGTGCTGCGAGGCTTTTCTAGCTTAGGTCACACATTTACTCCCTTCTCACGGCTCCCCTGCTTTCCAACCGAGCAACGAGTCCAGTGCAACACTATCTTTCCTTGAGGAGCTGGAAAGCCTGTCACAGGGCAGTCACCAGGGAACACAAAAAGGCAGCTGTAAATGGACAAAATTAAGGAACGAGCAGCCAATGCAATGACAAGATAGCAGCAATACAAGGTCACGGTCACAAAAGAAACGAGTGACTCCAATGTGCTCTTCTCTTTACTTCCTGAAACCCCACTTGTATTTCAGTTATTGCTGCCAAGGTAGGTAGGAACACAGAGGGTGCCTCCTGGATGGAGTAGATAGTCCTGCTCCCAACCACTGCACTGTTCCCTCTGCCTGTAGCATACAGTGTTTCTGTTTTGTACAACATAAATCTAGAAAGGACAACGGGTAACAAAATTACAGAAAGCAACTGCTTAAAAGAACATTGAGCAACAGTCATCATCACAAGAGAAAGAGACAAGGCCAGGATGCAGGCAGTGGACAACCTTTGGCTGGGACCAATGGACAAGGGAGAAAGCTGAGGACAAACAGGCAGAACACCACAAGGAACTGAACGACAAGATAGCACAAGATATTAGTGAAGCAAAGGTGAAGCTTCTAGACAGACTTCCAGACATCTCTCAGTGGAGAAAGGAGAGAGAGGTGACAGGACATGCTGCATTACTTACATGGGGCATAGAACATCATCAGAAGGGGTTTATCTTCCTTCTTCAGAAGCCTTCTCAACTCCTAGTGAATGAACAGAAGAAAATAAAAGCAGACCTACACCAAATGACACCCCTTATTATTTGTATTACAACTTCAAAAAATTAATGTATGTATTCATAGAACACAGGCTCATTTATCTGTGGGAAAAGGGGTCATCTTTCCTTTCAGACAAGACTCAGTTTTTTTTCCCTGACTCAATTTTAACTTGAAAGAAGATTAGAAAATTTATAATAGATTCAAATATTTGCTGAATATCCTAGATCAGTATCTTCACTGTTAATATGTGGAAGCTGTATGGTTTAGCTCATTCTCATTGCAGAATCTCTGACTGGAAACTCTTTCTTCACTGACACATCCAAAAATCCATACTGTAATTCAAAAAGTCAGACTCAATAATAACAAAACAAGTTCAGTTTTCACACTATGAAACCTTGCCAAAGCTATGAGATGCCATGACAAAAAGATTTTTCAGTACCAGCATGATAGAGAAACTAGATGAAGTTTTCAAATTGAATGCAACCCTTGGAAGCCTTGTAATAGAGTACAGAGGTTGAACATTAAAAATTAATCTTCCTACAAAAACTGAATGTCAAAATAACCATTTCTAATATTAAAAATGAAAGCCAGAAAATTGAAAAAGCCCTTTACAAAATACCAGCTAGAGTCCAATCAATTAAAGTTTAAAAAATCTATAGACTAGAAAAGTAATACAAAAGACCAAGCTGATTATATTAGAAAGAATATAATGGGTAACTCTGTGGTGGCACTGGCTTTTTAAGGTGGTTTCATCATATTCGCTGCTTTCCCACTTAACACTGAGAGAGGACAGTTGCTCTATAAAGTTAAATCCCTCAAGATTTGGATCCTGTTTTTCCTCCTGCTCCACTCTTCCTGAACTCAGGTACAGGAGGGAACCCAAGGTTTAAGGACAACTTGCAGTTTTAAAAGCAGCATTTTACCTCCTACTTGCACCCTGCAGTGACTGCATCTTGCAAGCTGCTACACTTCCCTGAGACAAACAGGGCTCTTCCACCACACCATCCACAAGCTCTGGTACTTGCTGAGTGGCTGGCAGACTAATATTGTGACCACACACAAGGGAGAGGAAGGAGGGAAGAGGACTTTACAGTTACCACAACCCACAAACTTTGTCAAATCACAACAGTTTGAGTGCTTTAAAGCTCCCTTCCAAAGAAAGGATGTTTCACTATGAGTTAATACAGACACACACACTCCCTTCATCCCATATATTTATAAAACAACAGAGTATCCAGCTAGTATACCTTTTCACTGTCAACATGCACAATATCTTTGGCTTCAGGATCTTCCTCCCATAGCGGAGCACCTTCTGGATCCTTGAGAAAGGCCACCATAGACTGTAATAAATGAGGAAAAAAGCTTTTAAAGGAAAAGTAATGGAAACCCTGAGACATCGAACCTCAAACCCACGCTGTCATGCAAACCCCATCCCATTAGTGCCTTTGCTTTTCTGCTCATATACTCATCTGCTCTAACGCAGATTAGCACAAATCTCCTGTGATACGTGGGTGTGTACCTTCCTCAAAACTGATATTCCAACTCATCAGTTTCCACTTCCACTGTAAAAATGGGAAAAACAGTATGGCAGTGGACCAAAACACAGAGAGCAGCTTCAAGCATCCTTCAGAGAGCTCTTTCAATGGTACTGGATCTTCCACAGCTTCTCCCTGGGTTAGCAGGAAAGACTTCTCTTTATGCAGAGGTCAGGTTCTCATGCCCTTCACCATATCCAAGTAACCTTTGAATCCAACAGGACTAGCTGGAGGGCACACTGATACTTGCTGTGAGCAAAAGTAATGAGCTCCACACTTACAGATCAAACTGCTTATTTGGTCAAAGGAAAATAATCCACCAATAGTTCCCTCTGTGACCCATCTACCTAGAAACTGCATTCAATGGATTTTTAAGTAGGAGAGTAAGAAACAAATGTGACAGGAGAATTAGGAAGTACCAGACCCTATGATTTTGCAGCTCCCACATCCAACAAGCTGAGTACATTTGCACATGCTGTTGTAATTGCTTTACCCGACTGACGGGCAGTCAACAATCGCAGACCACAGATATTCTCTTTATCATAAAGAAATACTCTCTGATAGCTCTGATTTCAGCCTGAGCCTGAAGGAAATTCCAGTCCTAGTCAATGAGATGCTCTCCATGGATTCTTGCAGAGTCACACTGTCCCCCATTTCCAACTGTACATGGAAGCACAGGGTTATCACGGTTATCTTCTGGTGTCTCTGCTCTAGGAAAAATTACCTGGTATTCCATGTTTATTCACCACTTATATTGACCCCATTTCTTCCTCTATGGTATTGATTCTACATGTGTATCCACTCCCAGACAGGATCTCTGTCACACCAGTAACATAGTGAGGTCTCTCAGGAACTTCCTTCAATGTAAGAGTGAGTGGATGATGCTGCCACAGCACTAAGGAAGCTCATATGGAGCTGGAGCAAAGAAAAGCTTCATTAAAGCTTTTTCAGTCCATGTGGTATTTTGCCAAAGCAGCCCATGACTGAAGAGCAGAGATGAGTACATGCTAACACACACCAAAAATATCTACCTAAAAGCCTGGGTGTGGTATTGCGCCTTCCTAAGAGCAGGTGAACAGCAGTCCTGGTGACACATGCCTCTGCTGGAACAGTCTCAGAGACATTTCTGCTGCCTCTCTGCCTTTGTTGGGGCTGTGCTGGTACAACAACCCAGCAGCTTATCAACAGGGAGGGGAGTTCAGCTCATTTTGCTGCATCTCAGTTGGTACTGCAAGGCTCGTGAGGATTCAGAGCTTAGGGCAGGATCCATTTATTGCATTTATGTTTCTGTCTACTTGCACAGCTAATATTGAAGAGATTTGTCTTATCACAAGAGGCAGCGTACATCAGTCACCAGACAGCAAGCAAAGCACTTAATGTACACAGTTAGAAGACCTAAGGGGTGAGGTAGTAGTGTTAGGGCCACAAACACTTCAATAAGAAATTTGTTTTAAAATGGCATTAGCAGAGAGAAGAGCTACCTAGGGGAAAAAAAATACATAAAATCAAGTAATTTACAATGGAGTTACAGTGTAAAAAGCTCTAAACCTAGAGGCATTAACATCACAAATGACGTCCTAAGAAGAGTAATAATATGTGGGGAAAGGAAAGAAGAGGACAAAACAGCAGTGACCTTTAGGACAGCTGCATCAAGTTCTGCTCACTCTCCGTCTGCATAGACCTCAACTATACACTGCAGGGGAGGAGAGAGGGGTCAACATTTTAAACAGTTAATGAATGTAATTGCCTCTGCTAGTTTCAAGAATTCCTGTATGCCAAGCTCAGTCATGTAGAAACAGATGCAGTTAGAGGATGGGGGATTAAAGAGATTTAATTCATCCAGCCTCTCCCTCTTAGCCAAGACAGAAAAAAATTAGATGTGTAATGTCTTCTGGCAGGAGCAGGCAGTGCATTGCCTTGCCCTCATTTCTCCATGTGGCAAAGAGAACTTCCCATATTGCTTTAAATAGGGAAGAACAACACCCAAACAAACCACAGCACTTTCTAATCACAGAAAAGCACTGCTCCCCAGGCTGCTGGGTTAGAGACCACAGCAACGTGCAGGGCACAGCTACCCTCATGCTATAGAACCAGCTACATTCCTGTCCTGCAGTGATACGGTCAGGTCTTGTTTTGACCCCACAGAGCCACAATGGCCTGTAACCTGCTGCCCAAACTGCTGTGACAGCTTTGAACCTTCAACATCAATTCAGCAGACTACAGGACATGGCTTCATCCAGCCTGTGGTTGCTAAAAGCAAGGAAGTTTTAACAGGAGAACTGGTGATCATATACATAGACCTAAGTTTTAACCTGAAAAAAGTATACAGAAACACATCCCTGCACTCTTCACTCCTTTGAAGTGTCATGCAGTAGGGATGCTAATAAAAAGACTTGCTTAGATTTCCAACACACACTCCTTAAAACAGCAAACTTGAAACAGATTCAGAGTTTAGAGTAGGACCAATTTATTGGCTCAGTCTATTCCCTTTGCTAGTCCTGGGCAGACTTGTACTTTAATGAGTTTTCTCCATTTTAGGAGCAAGGTAAAACTCTCCCTGTAATTTATACTCCAGGTTTCATCATGTAATAAACATAATCTGGATTCTGGGCTTATGGCTCTATTGAGGATTAGGACATGGTGTGGCTAAAGCAACACATGAACAGACATTCCAGGTTACAGCAAAGACTGATGTAAGCTTAGGTTTCCAACAGCAGATGACTGCAGTTATTTGGGGAAAAGACATCCTAGCACCATTCTTATACAGCACACACTGGTATATGTTCTCAATTTCTGGCCAAAAGTGATTAAATTTATGGACTCTGCAACAGCTATTGTATATGGACCCATGTGCTTGCTAACTATCTCTTAACAGATATATATCTCTTAACAGATCTATCTCTTATGACTAACACTGTTTTTAAGGCTCCTTAATTCTTGGCTTTTGCAATATGCAGCTACAAGTTCCAAGACTTTCCCCAAATGTCATTGTTTGCACACAAGTTTGGAGAAAAAAGAGGTAATCACTCCCTTTTTTAAGCTACTCAGTTACACAAACATTTACCAGAATCTCCTCCTTTTTTTCCAAGCACAAGGATCTTCATGGAAATATTCAAGCCATCTGTGCCTCTGATCAGCCTCTCTGCCCTTCTGCAGTACTTCTACACCTCTCACTTATGTGGCAACCAGAATCTCATACAAGATACAAGATGAAGGAACCAAACAGACTCAAGGTGAAATAACATTTCCTTTTTTGTTCTCTGTTCGTTTCCCAATCATTTGACAGAAAGTACTGTTAAGCACAGGGCCAATATTTTCAAGCCAATCACTGTCCAGCTGACAATTCAAACCCCATTACAATAATCCACATTACTCCAGCATAGCTGGAGTTTCCTTCCCCCTCGTGTTCATTGCCCCCCACAAGTTCCAACTTTCACACTGACAAGCTACTTAGTACTGTGAAAACCTAAGCCCTTCTGCAAAGAATGGGAAATATTTTTTAAAACTATTCCTAATAATTCCAAATCACTGAGATTTGTTCTTTTGCATTCCATCCCCCTTTACTAGATATCCAAAACAGCTCAGATCCTAACACAGGAGGTTCTCACTGCTACGTAAATTCCCCCACTGTGAACACTGAGCTATTCTTTATTCCTCATTTTTCTAACAGTAAACCCACAAGGGCATCTCTGCTAATTGCATAAGAATTTAGTTACTTTAAGAAATGAAAAGCTATTCTTAAAAACCTGAGTACACTATCAGCTGGATCAGCCACATCTATGAAATTGCTGATTACTTCAGAAGAATCCTTTTACAGTTCTTCAGAGCTGTGTCCATCATTCTCCAAAATGTCATACATATATTAATATGTCTACTGGATGCCTGGAAAGAAGATCTGAGTTTTATTGCCACACGTTTGCTGAATGATGTGAAAACAAATCCTTTAATCTCCCTGTTCTTCAGTGTGTCCACCTGTCTGTAAAATAAGTATGATACCCTAACAAACTGTGTTGCTTTGCTTCTCACTGTTTGTATGTACTGGGAGGTTCCTGACAAACACAGCTGAGAGAGAGAAAGAAAGGTCACTGGCTCAACAGAAGAAAACAGGGAAAAGAAGTGGAATAGAGGGAGAAATACAGAAAATACTCAGGTAGCTGCCAGCAGTGGAACAAGTAAACACTCAGCTGAGTTACCTGACCACTGCCCAGCCCTGACCCACTGCCCAGCCTGTAAATCATTAGTGGCTGGTTTCACAGTGGCAGTTAAATTAAGAAAGACTACAGCCCCTCCAGTGAGGCAGCTTCAAAATCCCTCTGTCAACTCCCAATGGAATCCCCCATTAGCTGTCCATGGGATGCTGCTTCCTTCTCCCCAGCAGGCTGGGCAAAAGGGAAAGGGGAAATGCTCATCACAAAACAGCAACTGAAGAAATAAACAATCAGATTCCTGTTGTGCTATGATTGCCTCTCAGCCCATCACTCCCTGGAGTGCTGCAGGTGCTTTCCACTTGATCTGATCTGTAAGGAAGAGTCACAGCACTAAGCCCTAGCTGCAGCACTTTATGGAGGGCAGGAAAGACACGTCATGTATTGTTCAAACCACCCAAATTTAGGTAACTAGCAAGTCTCCCTCTGCCCACCACTCACCAAGGAAAAAAATAAAATCACCAGCTGCATTTCCTCACTAAGAACAGAAGCAGCTTCAGGCAGGTGCTGACTAGGCTGGATATCTAACATTGCCCTTCCTAGTTCCAGGCAAGATTTCTACTGCAGGAGATGGGAAGATACACAGTCCTATTCTCCCCACCTCAGGCAAATCCTGCCTGACAGCCCCAAGTGAAGGCAGAATTAATTCAAGTCAGGGCACACTTCCAAGACAGTCCCCCATTAGCTACCCTACTGTAGGGTAGTAAAACCAAGGTCCAGAGCAAGCACGCTTAGGAACAGCCTCTCTGGCAGACTCAGGTTCACACAGCATCTCACAAAGGCTTTCCTCCACCCCAGGGCAACCCCCTGAACAAGCCAGAAAGGGGATGTACACAGAATTACGTCAACCTGGTGTGATGCCATCAAGCCTCCACAAGACCCATGATGGTGCAGAGCGTGGGTTTGCTGGAGAAGGAGGAGAAATGGGAACTGGGCATCAGAGCTGGACAGCAATAATTTCTAGAAGCCAAGTCATTGCAGGGCTGTAGCCTCATGTAAGGACAGTCTCAGTGCTTCTCCAGGGCTTTGTAAAGGAAAGCTGCACACTTTTAGCCTGCTCACTGTGCTTTTAGTTTACTATTTCCACAATCATTAATATCTAAATGTTCATTTCATGTTTGATGTCTTCTCTCCTCCCTTGCCCAGAGAACGTGGCTTTCTGTTGCTTTATGTCAAGATTCACTGGAGAAGAAGAAAGGTCATTTTATCCCTGATGCACTCAGAGTACATCCATAGGAACTGCAGTTCCACAGTCCAATAAAAGATAAGGCCACTCAGCTCCCTTTAAAGTTTATAAACACACAATCTAAGAAGCCCAGAGAACTCCTTATCAAAATGCAGCATCAGCTAATACTTTTAGTTACACTGCCATTGAGAGCACCTTGTAATCAAAAAAAGAAAACCCATATTTGTTACCAGTGTGCAGGTTAATTTACAATTTACCTTGCAGTTCAAATAATCCACAATTTTCCCGGATCTGTGGTTGGCAGACATGTTTACACATAAAAACCCTTAGGCCATTCTGACAGCTGTTTATAAGGATTAACCCCCTCCCTTTTTAGCATGAAAAAATACCAACACCTGTTTTTTAAATTCACAAATGTCTAACCCATATCTAGCAAAACCAAAAGAATAATAATGAAATATTTAAATTTACCTTCAATGTGACCGCTCTGTTATATGGAGTATGAAATGCACCGTCCCTGTTGAACAAGGAGTGGGGAATAGTGTTAACTTACAGTAATGTTACTAGAAATCATACAGCTGCTCTTCCTCACTTCCCACTAACCAGAATAACATTATCCCACCCAAGCCACAGAAGTAAGCAGAATTTACAGTACAGCAATTTAAGGGTGGCAAAAAACAGGAGTAAGGAAAAACGTAGGGCGCAAGACAGAGTGTAAAGCAAACAGGTTCCTAGTAAACCATTTCCTCCCTGACACTTGAACAAGAACAGTTACTAAGGCATGATTTTTGGAGAGGGAGATGTAGCCTCTTGGTGTACCTAACTGTACTCCCACTCCTATTATTTTCAGGAGGAAAATCTCTTGCTGTCTCACTACACTTGTCTTTCTCCACTTACTTTACAAAGCACTCTCTCAAGTCAGAAAAGCACAGAGAGGTGAAGTGACTTGTCCAAGGCCAAGCAGGCACTGCCAGCAGGCAAGGGACAGAGAAAGTAAGACAGATCAAATCTCAGGCATCAGTCCTGTGCACTGGTCAGTTTTAGTCCATTGGACATCTCTCCCTGACCTTGCTTGTGCTTTTAGTGGACTCTATTCAACAAAGAATAAATTTATCTCAACTTCTGTCAAAACGCACGCTTGCAAACTGAAGAAATGGCAACTAATTTATCACATCAAAGGATAAAAAATAAGTCATCTTAATGCTGCAGCAACACGGAGCTGAAAGGAGAATGAACAGTTCTAATGGGGGAATCAACAATTAGGAACTACAAATCCCATCCCAGAACTCACTTATAATGGAGTAAATCGACTCCCTTCTCCTTTGTATTAGGATCTACCTTCATCTTCTTGCATAATTTTCGGCTTTCAGTATCACTGCAAAAAACACATATTGGAAGAAAGGTTACCAGAAAAGAAAATCAAATGCATTCAGTTCTGAGAACTCATTGCTGTACTTCCTTATCAGCAATTAATTCCAACTAACAGTAATTTGGAAGCTGTTTAGCTAAGTTTGTAGAACAAGCATTGTGAAAAGCTGCATTAGTCAATTTAATTTCTCTGTTTGCTTGGTCAGGACACAGTGAACTGTGTTAAAATCACATTCCACAGCCAGGCCCTAACCAATAAAAAAGCAGCTCATTCCAACATGTTGAAGTACCTCAGCAGATCTTCTGTCCATAGGATTAACATAAAATCTAGGAAGTCAAGTTTCCAATAAGCCCATACTACTGTTAGGGTGATGGTCAAAGAGTACTGTTTGTGAAAAGACTGAAAGGGAAAGAGCAGGTCAGCTTTTACATCTGGCAGAAGATAATACAAAACCAAAAAGCCCATGTTCCTGGTATGTCCAAGCCCAAATCACAAGTGTTAAGCCTTAAAAAGGTCCTGCAGAAAACAAAAACCAGTTGAAATTCTGGAGCCCCAGGCCCAGCAACCCCATTCATTTTAGGTATGAAGGATGTGTCCTGGGAAGCAGAGAAAAAGACCATCTGCCACAGCTCCTGAAGGAGGATGTAACAGCAGACAGACCTGCTGCAGGTGGTCTTCTAACTGAACAAGAACGAACCACTTCCAGCACCAGATTAGGCTGAGTTTAAGAGAGAAAGCCACGGGAGAAAACTGCATATACTTTTGTTTTGGTGGGCAGGTAAAGAGTCTTTGTGGCCTAACTACTGATCTAAGCAAAGTGAAGTGAAGCCATAAGGAGGCTTCAAGCTGCAGTGAATGAGAAGTTGGTCGAAGACCTGGGGAGGAGAGTGAAACAGTGCAAGTACAAAGAAAAGAGGATGATTCACATTGACAAGACTGTTCTTTGCATTGACAAACAGCAAGATTAAACAGCTTGGAAACTTGTTCCCACCGAGGACAACTTGTACCTTTTACACAGATAAATCAATTTAGAAAATGAAAACACTGAAAACCCATCAAGTTTAAACTGATTAGAGACAATAAGATGCAGGGCTTGCAAGGGCCCACCAAATTAAGTGTTGCTGCCAGAACTGGTGCTAATTCTCCTCATGTTCTACAGCTGCCTTTCTACAAATGTGAGGAACAAGGAACACTAAATTCAGAGTGTGCTGTGGGTGAGAGTGCATCTTAGTGGAAATTTCCCAAACATTTATGGTAGATGGAAATGAGGAGGGGTGTGCTATGGACACATGCAGAAAATCAGAATATTATGCTGAAGATGGAAATTAGCACTTTCAGGAACTAACAAAGCAACTACCACCCTGGAAGGAGCACTTGTACAGAAGCATATTTATCTGAAGAGTCCTACTGAATTCATGTGAATTTTGCATTTTCAGATCATAGTCAAAGCTAGTAACTGTAACCTGTAAACACTCCTTTTGCTTCTCCAGGAGGCTGGAGATCTGAGCCTGAGAACTGAAAAACGTGACCATGTCTCCTTGTAACAAAGAAAATTACAGAACAAATACCCTGGATTTGGAGTTATGCCAAAGAACATGTTTGCCACATGGAGTTCGTACTGGAACTTACTTAGCAGCAACATCAAACCCAAGAGTCAGAAACATCCTGCCTTCTCTCACCTGCAGTCCTCCAGTGGACCCATGGGCTAAACCTAAATGACTTGAAGGTCAGGGCATCTCTGGTGGAGACACCATTTTCAGATCATCCTCTCGTGTCACCCCAGACAGATCTAGAGGCACAGAGCAGCTCTTGTGGCCCTGCTGCAGATCACTGCCAAACAATTAACTAAAGTCAGCCCACACCACAGTCAACATTGGTAAACGCTCTTCTAGACACTTCCAAATGTTTCCAGTATACGCAGGTGGCTGTCTCAGCTTTGCCAAGACAAATGAGAGGTGGCTGATGTGAACAAGTGTAAAGCTGAAACCCACTTCAAGCAACAGGGTCTGTCAAACTCCAAGATGTGCAGACCAATTGTTCTGTCACCAGCAGAGGAATAAAATGGGTATCAAGAGAATTCTGTTGCCAGTTGTACCACCTATTCACTGCAACTTCAAACCATGTGGTCAAGAAAGTGTAATTTTCCCTTATATATCATTAGAGATCCAGATGGATAGTCATGTTAGGAAAGTTCTGCAAGGTTTATACTGGAAAAAGGCTGCAAAACATTATTACTAAGCTACATCTGTAACCAAGCAGATAGCAACTCCTACTACTCTAACTCCTAACAATTCATCTTCTGTTTGTATGAGTTTCTATTAAAAAAAAAAGAGATAATAATAGCTGTTTCACTGGAATCTAAGTCTGCCCTGCTTTCAGGATTTCTACATTTGCAGGGATTCACACAGCTGCCTGAATGCACAGCCATTATCACAGGAAAGAAAGCAGCAGTTTGCTCCAGTATATCTCCTACCATTTAGGAGGCAGATTCTCTGCACCGCTGCATTGAGAGTTTAGTCTGTTTATGCAAGCTATCTGCACTGATGCAAGGGATGGATGAGGAGCAAATTCCCAGAATAGGAAATGTCTAAATATGTATCAGTAATTTTTTCATGCATCAGTGCAGATTTTTGCACATGCCAGACCCACCAGCTCAGATGCTATACTAACAATTCTTTGGAAAAAGCAGAAAAGGAGATGAACAGAAATGGCTAAAGATGGACTCATTCTGCTTTCCCTTCCGCCTTCCCTTCCAGACAGACAAAAATAACCTGCAAAGAGCAACCTGCTCTGATATCACTTGCTAATGACCATTATTCTTAATAAGAGTAAATATCAACACAGATGCAGCCTGCTCTGAGATTTGTCTCTTTTGAATCTCAGCCAACAGCCTCTCTCTGAAGATGAGCTCTTCAACTCTCACATGGGAGAGGGTAATTAGGACTCCGGTTCTTGCAATTTAATTATATCACTTGAAGAGGCAGTGTAAGAGTTTGTTATAATGACTAAAAGTAAGAAAAAAAAAAAAAAAAAAAGGAAGAAAGAAAAAACCACACAACCCAAAAAAGCCAAAAACGACCCCCAAAATCATCACTCAACCACTCAGGCCAACCCACTCCAGACAAGGCACCAGGCTCAGGAAATACTGGTTTGAGGATGAGGTCAGTAATGTACCCCCAGCAGCCATCCCATGCTGTTTCCGTCCAGAGCAATTCGAACCTTTGCAGGTCCCTGCTGTGCTACTGCTGAAGGGACCCCTGCAGGCAGTCCTACAATCATCCAGCATTATCTCCCTGGAAAATCATCCAAAACATCAACCTATTTTCAATATGACAAAGGACCTAACCAGCAGCTGCCTATGTGGTAATAAGGTCAAGCCTTAAGTGGCACGATAGCACGGCTTCTTTCCACTCCCACAGGCATGTTCTCCACACTCCCCTTCCCACAAAACCATAGCAGGGCTCCAAAACGTGCCTTTGCTGGAGAAGCAAAAGACATATGGCAGCTTGGTAAAAAGAACAATAAAATGAAAGATCCAAGTCGACTTAACTAAGCAAGAAGTCTAAATAACAACAAAGATAGCGTGCATCGCAGGAATGCTTCAGCCCTTTCCATTCACACGCCCATCTCCTCTACTGGGACACATTTCTGTCATTTGGGGTTACGATGGAGCTGGCAGGAAGCCCGACTGGAGCACTCCCTGTAAACCTCTGGGGTCCCTGTCAGCGCTAGCATGCATGAATAATCCCTTAGCACAGGCAGCCAGCTGTTACCAGGGCAGGAGGAGGGTGAGGGACTCGTGAAGGAGATCTGGCCTCCTTTGGCTCACCAGCACATGAAGAGGATATGTCACAGGCATTCCTTAGGAGCGACACAAGATGCTCTGCCTGTGCAGGGCTGCCCACAAGCCTGGAAGATCACGGTCATAAGGATGGAGAAGCAGATCAGATACTGATGGCAGTCCCCAGTGGCAGGAGCAACACAGAATAAGGCTTTTGCAGCAATGCGTCAAGGTAATTTGGAGAGAGAAAGAATAGAGGATAGAACTAGACAGGAGGAACACAAAATAAGACCCAGGAGTTTGCTTGCAGTTAAGTGCACACTGGTTTCTAAAAATAAAACAAGTCCAAGCTGGATGGATCCCAAGTAAGAAATGGTGCATGGAGGTGGCAGTGCAAAAACCCATCCTTGGGGCAAATTCAAGTATTGTCCTGACAGGTCCTGAAGGAGCATGGTAAGACCAAACAACCTCAGCAACATTCTCTTTCATAAGAACAAATAAAACCTTTTGCAGCTTCCTAATTATTTCCCTTACCATGTAATGCTGCCCACTGGCTTCTCATGAAGAAGGGAAAACAGCCCCACGACCACATCAGCCCCTGGGAAGGAAGGATCTGGAATGACTGCCAAACCCCCTCTTTGGAAAAACGTCCAGGTCTCGAGTTGCCAACATAACAGCAGCGTGTGCATGTGCCGTGTGGCCGCGTCACTTCACTGCTGCTGTGCTGGCATCTCCAGCACTTTGCCATGCAGACTGCACCCAGCTTTCTTTTTCACCCACACCTACAGTGTTTCCAGGCACAAGAGAAGTAATAATAAAAACGCTGACAGAACCAATTTAAGCAATGAGGTCAGTAAATCTGCCTGCACAAGAACTATCTATCTCATTTCTCTATCAGCGTATCATGTAACCCACATGCGAACCGCAGACCTCACAACCTCAAAACAGATTTTCTCTTTTATCTGTACATCTGCCCATCTGAAACAGGGCTCAAAAATCATGTGAATTCTGCTTTAGCAGTCCCTTGTATCACAGTCGTGCCTGTAGACTCTAATGCAATGGAGGCTCTGCTGTATCAGTGGCTGAACAGACAAACACTGTCACTGTAGTAATAGCTGGAAGAGACAAAACTGAGCAGGTAAGGAAGAGGAATAGGCTTCAAGAGCATGGTAATATGGCAGAGCAGAAACAGGATTGCTTACCCAGCAAGCCTCCCAACACTGGA